CCCTCCCAGCCCCTCCCAGTATAAACCAGTATAAACCAGTATAAACCAGTCCGTACGGTTCCGGTCCAGCCGCAGCAGCCGCAGGCGGGGGAGGGGCGGGGCCGATCCCAGTTTGGAGACGCGGTTATCGGAGAGGTCCAGTTCCTGCGGGACTGGGTTATACTGGGAGCACTGGGAGGGGCTGGGAGGGGACTGGTTTATACTGGGAGGGACTGGGAGGGACTGGGAGGGACTGGGAGGGAACTGGGAGTTACTGGTTTATACTGGGATGGAACTGGGAGGGAACTGGGAGGGACTGGGACGGACTGGGAGTTACTGGTTTATACTGGGAGGGACTGGGAGCACTGGGAGGGACTGGGTTATACTGGGAGGGAACTGGGTTATACTGGGAGGGACTGGGTTATACTGGGAGGGGACTGGGAGAAACTGGGGGGGACTGGGATGGACTGGAGGGGTTACTGGTGTTACTGGTGTGTGTTACTGGTGTTACTGGTGTGTGTTACTGGTGTTACTGGTGTTACTGGTTTCCCGTACTGGTGTTACTGGTGTTACTGGTGTGTGTTACTGGTGTTACTGGTGTTACTGGGAGCTGTTACTGGTGTCACTGGTGTGTGTTACTGGTGTTACTGGTGTTACTGGTGTTACTGGTGTTACTGGTTTCCCGTACTGGTGTTACTGGTGTTACTGGTGTGTGTTACTGGTGTTACTGGTTTCCCGTACTGGTGTTACTGGTGTTACTGGTGTTACTGGTGTTACTGGTGTTACTGGTTTCCCGTACTGGTGTTACTGGTGTTACTGGTGTGTGTTACTGGTGTTACTGGTTTCCCGTACTGGTGTTACTGGTGTCTCACCGTGAGGCTCCTCAGGGCTCCCAGCGCCGCCGGCAGCTCCCGCAGTTCATTCCCAGCCAGATCCAGCCGGGCCAGCGCCGCCATCCGCTCCAGCAGGGGCACCGCCGTCAGCTCCTAAACCAGTACAAACCAGTATAAACCAGTATAAACCAGTATGGATCAATATAAACCAATATAACCCGCTATAAACCGCTATAAACCAGTATAAACCAGTATAACCCAGTATAAACCAGTACAGACCCAGCCCCATCCGCTCCAGCAGGGGCACCGCCGTCAGCTCCTAAACCAGTATAAACCAGTATAAACCAGTATAAACCAGTATAAACCAGTATGGATCAATATAAACCAATATAACCCACTATAAACCGCTATAAACCAGTATAAACCAGTATAAACCAGTATAAACCAGTATGGATCAATATAACCCACTATAAACCACGATAAACCACTATGGACCAGTATAAACCAGTATGGACCAGTATAAACCAGTATAAACCAGTATAAACCAGTATGAACCAGTACAAACCAGTATAAACCAGTACAAACCAGTATAAACCAGTACAAACCAGTATAAACCAGTAACCCCCAAACTCCCTCCGAAAGCCCTAAAACCCCTCCAATCCCTGCCCCAGTATAAACCAGTATAAACCAGTATAAACCAGTAGCCCCACAAGTCCCTCCCAGTACCTCCAAACATCCCCAAACCCCTCCCAGTACAAACCAGTACAAACCAGTACAAACCAGTACAAACCAGTACAAGCCAGTAAACCCCCAAACCTCTCCCAGTACAAACCAGTATAAACCAGTAACCCCTAAAACTCCCTCCCAGTAGCCCCCAGAGCCTCCCCAGTACCCTCCCAGTCCAAACCAGTATAAACCAGTATAAACCAGTATAAACCAGTAACCCTCACAATCCCCCCCCAGCAGCCCCCAACCCCTCCCAGTATAAACCAGTCCAAACCAGTAAGCCCAGAACCCCCCAAAAGTCGCTCCCAGTGGTTCCCAAACCCCTCCCAGTCCAAACCAGTATAAACCAGTATAAACCAGTATAAACCAGTATAAACCAGTTACCTTGGCGGGCAGGCTCAGCCCCTCCCCCGCTCCCAGTATGGCCAGCGCCACCTCGAAGCGGGACCGGACGTCGGCCACGAAACCCGAGCGCAGGGGGTCGGCCTCCTGCACCAGTATAAACCAGTATAAACCAGTATAAACCAGTATGGACCAGTATAGACCAGTATAAACCAGTATAAACCAGTAAGGAGCAAAAAAACCCCGCCCAAAAGCACCTGAGGGCGTTCCCAGTATAAACCAGTATGGACCAGTTAGCCCAGCACCCCCAAATCCAGCCCGGAAGGGTTCAAACCCCTTCCCAGTATAAACCAGTATAAACCAGTATAAACCAGTATAAACCAGTAAGGCCAAATTTCCCTCCCGAATGCGCCCAAATCCCTCCCAGTATAAACCAGTATAAACCAGTAAGACCCCAAACCCTGTCCCGCCCACCCCCAGGCCCCTCCCAGTATAAACCAGTATAAACCAGTACAAACCAGTATAAACCAGTGACCCCAAAATTCCCTCCTAAAAGTGCCCAAACCCGTCCCAGTATAAACCAGTATAAACCAGTTATCCCCAAACTCACTCCTACTCACCCCGAAACCCCTCCCAGTCCAAACCAGTATAAACCAGTATAAACCAGTAAGGCCAAATTTCCCTCCCGAATGTGCCCAAATCCCTCCCAGTATAAACCAGTATAAACCAGTAACCCCCAAACCCTCTCCCCTGAGACCCTCCCAGTCCAAACCAGTATAAACCAGTCTAAACCAGTCTAAACCAGTCTAAACCAGTCTAAACCAGTATAAACCAGTCTAAACCAGACTAAACCAGTATAAACCAGTCTAAACCAGTCTAAACCAGTATAAACCAGTGACCTGCAGGCTCCGCAGGTGCTCCCGGATCTCCCGGGCGTGGCCGCGAGGATCCAGCGCAGCCAAGAGCAGGGCCAGGGTCAGCAGGCAGCCTGAAACCAGTATGGA